GTCACAGGTGCCACTTTCTGCTTGTTTGGCCGCTAAGTCTGCCAAATGGTTACCTCGAGCTTCCTGTGAGTTGAGTTTGCCGTGAGCTTTCACCTTCAAGATAGCCACTTGAGTTGGCAGAAGTAGGGCATCCATCAAGTCCTTGATAGCCGTGCTATGTTTTACTGGTGTCCCTGCCGCTGTCAGGAATCCCCTGGCCTTCCATATGACTCCAAAGTCATGTGCAACCCGAAGGGCATACCTTGAGTCCCTATGGATGTTTGCTCTTTTTCCTTCAGCCAGTTTGCACGCTGTGGTAAGTGCTTGTAGCTCTGCTCCTTGTACAGACCTTATTGACGGCAGGGCCGCAGCTTGCAGGATTGTGTCTTTAGTGGTCACTGCATAGCCTGTATGGTACTTGCCTCGTACATCGGCAAACCTGGAGCCATCAACAAAAAGTGTGAGGTCTGGGTTTTCCAGTGGCTTCTCGCTAATAGTGGGGAGATGTGTAGTTTCCATCTTCATCAGTTCGAAGCAGTTGTGCGAAGGGTCGGGGTCTTCAGACTCTTCACCACCTCCCCCCTTGAGAAGTGGGAGGAGAGTGGAGGGGTTTAGTTTAGTTAGGGGTTTATACTCAACCTGGTTGAGTATAGCAGCAATGTCATGGGGTGCAAGCAGGATAAGGTGATGGCCCAGGACTAGGTCCGAGGTCTTGTCAAGCAAGGCTTGAGCAGCAAAGACAGCTCGAAGACAGGAGGGGCCTCCTCTGGCCACTGCATCCACTCTGCAGGAGTAGTAGCCTATTGGGCGTAGGCGGTTGCCGTGGGACTGGGTGAGCACACCTGTAGCATGTCCTTGACGTTCACACACAAAAAGCTTGAAGGTCTGCTCACAGTCTGGGAGTCCCAGAGCAGGAGCTGATGAAATAGCTTGCTTGTGAATCTCGAAGTTGGAGATTGCTTCCGGGGACATTTGGAAGGGATCAGACTTCAGAGCATCATAGAGAGGTTGCATCAGCAAAGAGACTTCCGGGATCCATGCTCTGCAGTAGGAAATCAGCCCAAGAAAGGCATGGAGCGGCTTCTGTCCCAAGGGTAGTGGTATGCCCAGGACTGTTTTGACTCTGTCCCTTGTGATGTGTCTTATTCCATGAGACAGGCAGTGACAGAGGAACACAACAGACGTGGAGCACCACTGCAGTTTGGGTTTGGAGGCTTTGCAACCTTGGCGTGCCAGATAGGACAACAAACTCTCTGAGGTGTCCACAGCAGCAGGCAGGTCGTCAGCACAGAGAAGGAGATCATCCACATACTGAAGGAGATTTACTGTTGGGTGTTCCTTCTGCCATGTATCAAGTATGGTAGCCATGGCTTTTGCAAACTGACTGGGAGAGTTCTGTGCTCCTTGTGGCATGACCGTCCAGGTGTTCTGGGCTAGGTCCAGGGCTCCGGTGTTGCTGCTGGTTCTGGTCCCATTGTGGTGGTGCGAGAAAGCGCCTAGGGCGTCTTGGTGCTGGGCAATCCCGCTTGAAATGCCCTGGCTTCCCGCAGTTAAAGCAGGCTGGGGGCAGCCTGGACGTCTGCGTCTGAGGGATTGCAGCTCCTGAAGTAAAATGGGACGAGGCAGGCCAAGTATCATACACCATGAGTGGGGTGGTCCTTTTGGCTGCATGAGATGACTCCAGGCCTTTCGCCACTAGTAGAAGAGTATCCAGGGGAAGCACACGGTACTCAGGTCGGGCCATTGTAAGGACTTTCCTAATTGGCTCCTTCAGGCCTGCCACAAAGGCTGATGACAGCATTTGGCTATGTACTTTATTATGATCACTGAATCCTAGTTCTGAGAAAACCTGTGACAACCTAGTATAAAACTTCTCCACTGACTCTACCTTATCTTGGGTAACATCCTGGATATTCGTGGCTTGGTCGGCCAGTCTTTCCCTTGCCCAATCCCGCAATTGTTCGCAGAATTCCACACCAGAAATAAAAGAATTGTCATCAACAATCCTTGCAGTCTGTAAACTCCTTTCCATTATTGGCCAGTAAGCATCTCCCGCCTTTATTTCACACAGACTGACTAAATCCCTCCATGCCGCTGAGTATGTCTTTTGTATCTGGGCTATCCTCCGATAGAAGGGCATGGGTTGTTTCTCTGGGTCTGGGAGGGTAGTCACCAGAGAGGAGGCCTGTGATGGGGTAAAGGTGACTTACATCACCAGCGCATCTGCCACTCCGGGCCTTGGCGTGGGTCGTGCCACCAGGCGGCCTGTCATGGGGTTCCAGGTGACCAGGTCCTCATCAAAGGAATCGGACACAGAGGAAGGGGAGGGGGCTCATGTAGGAGTGTAAGCTTCCCCCCTGTGCAGGCCCCACTTGTGGGATAACTAGCACACCACCTGCATGTGCAGCGGTTGTATCGGGCATATAGGCATAATAGGGGTTTGAGGTTCTATGGGTGGCACATAGTAAGCACCATCAGCTCTTAACACCGGATAAAGGGAAGTTATAGGTTGCGTTTGCCTTCCGGGGTGTTGGCTGGGTATACCAAGATGGCCGCCACCGGATGTAGTAGGGGCGGGACTTGGCTGTCAGCTGTCCCTCCAGCGCTGTTGCGGGTCTCCGATCCAGCGCCGACTCCTTTGTCCTTCTTTTCTCTCATGTCCCACGGTGCCTGTGCGGGTGCACGCTGCTCCATAGACTTACCTTGGGTCTCTCCTCATCTCCCGGTCAACCATCTGAACTGCGCATGCGCCCGCCCCAAGATCCTTTGCGGCTGCCTGAGACGCTTCAGATGTTCGAATGGTAGTGCGCAGCGAAGACACAGGTAAGTATTAACCCTTTTTAAAAGTTTAAACAAAAAAATGTTTTTGCATTAATGTTTTGCTTGCTAGCAGTAAATATATGCAAAAACATCCAAGGGTTTAATAACCCTTTAGGCTTGAAGTCAGGTGACCATAAAAAAGCACCAAATATTGGTATAACACGTGACCTCCTCCAAAATTCAGTTATGCTTTTAGACACTGAAGAAATACATAAAAATTATGTAGAATTGCATTTACTACTATGCAGCAACACAACCTTCTGTACATTACTGTTTCTGAAAGATGGAAACCTTGTAGGGGCATAAAAGAGAAGGACATACATGTTTCTAAAAATAAAAAATAAACAACATGGGCATGCTTTAATGGCATGTACTTTATATTACATGTATATCATGATATGTGTCCTTGTCATAATTTACCGTATATACTCGAGTATAAGCCGAGATTTTCAGCCCATTTTTTTGGGTGAAAAGTGCCCCCCTCGGCTTATACTCGAATTTTAAATTTTGGAAAAATCATTATCACTGTACACAAGTTTAAGTTCCAGCACTGGATACGGTTTCTTTATAATGATTACCCTAAATAATACTTATGAAAGACACTTTTCTTTCCCAACCACCGTACCAAATGTTAATGCAACCCTCACTGTGAATTTTCATCAAGTTCCACCCCCTGAATGATAAATCAATCAAGTTAAGAAATAAACCTGATCATATGATTCCTGCTCATTTTGCGTTTGGCCTTTTAAGAATTCAGATAAGCAAACTGTAGTAAATTAAAAACAGATTTTTTTTTTCTGTTTCTTCCTGGGCTCATTTATTTAGTCTCTAATTCTATGTATTATAATGACACTCATAATCTAAAAGAAATAACAAGCTAAAATTGCTTATTCAGCCTGGCAAGATACCATCGAACCTGTGCGCTCGCCATATAATATGAATTTTTATTGCATCTCTGTACTGCAGCATCTGTACATATACAGATACAGCACCACAAGTACACCGTGAAAAACCTAGACCCTCTGGTAAATAAAGAATAAGATCAATTTCTTACAGTATACTGCAATGCAGTGACCACAGACTAAGGGGTCTATTCACTAAGTTGCCGTAGGCAGCCGAGTGAATGACCGACCTAAAGTGAAGTGAGCCGAACGCTGTTCACTTCAGGCTGGTACGGCTGATTTCAGCCGTATATCGGCTGAAATCAGCCGTACATCGGGTGGCTTCGTGTGGCTTCGGGTCGGCCGAACATGCTCAGCATGTTTGGCCGACCCGAAGTGCAGAAGAACCTCCGGCAGGCTACTCGCTGCTGTTCGGTCTATTCTCATAAATGCCGAACAGCAGCGGCATTCGGCTCAGCTGTTCTGCTCGGTCTCTCTGTGGGACCGAGCAGAACAGAAAAACAGTTAAAAAAGTAGAAAAATACAAATAGAAAACGATCGTGCGGAGCTAGCAATGACAGCTAG